TATAATTGTTTTAATGTATTCGTACTTATATGGGGTAAACAATGGGTATTAAAGCGAAGGAATTTTGGAAAAATATTTATTATAATAATATCTACATACAGAGTGATTCTTAAATAGACCGACAAAATTTTATCACAGCTTCCCAAGGATAATTGGAGACAAGCTGTACTCTTTTTACGTTTATATCTTTTAGGGGCAAAACCCCCTTGATCCGTGCCACTTACGGCGTTTATGAATTGTTGCAATGATCAAGTACATTTTCATCAAGTTAATGCCATGGTTTCCACTACCTGTTCTAATACTATTTACGAACACATCAGTGGCGTACACTTTACTTTGAAAATAACTTTAATAAATTTTATTTGGAGAATGTTTAAACAAAGAATTTTTTAAATAAGGATAAAATTTTGTCGGCCTATTTAAGAATCACCAAAGTTCATTATTTTTTGGAGTCGTATACGTTATATTTACTGTCCCATAATAGTGATGGTCACCGGCGCCGTGGTTCCTATTGTAGAAATTTTGTCGCCTGTAACAAAAAAATTGTTGCATGATTTATTTTATTCAAGTTAAAAGACAATAGTGATGTACAAACCTTTCTGTTCACGACTTGTTGCTATTGTCCGAATTATTGCTCTTGTTGTACCACTTCCATCCGCCGCGACCTCTCCCGCGGCCTTTTGTTTCTCTGTTTCGTTCCTATAATAAAAATAAAATTCTTATTTTAAATCTCTAAAATAATAGCAACCCTTTCATCTTGATGCAAATTTACTTACGCGCTCTTACTCCAGCTCATCTCAGAGCTTTTCTAATTCTTCCATCAAAATATCCACGTCGGGAGCCCTCGCAGCGGCTCCAGAAGCCTCCACATCAGTGGCTTCTGAAGCATCGTCGGATTCCATTTCGACATCGCTGATGGGCGAATCAATGCGTAGATTTTCCATGTCAGTATTTTGTTCTTCACTCTGTATACATACAATAATAATTGTTAAAATCTAATTCAAATACAAAACATAATACAGCAAACAATATGTTTAATTAAATTGATTTAATAAATCAAATGAAATACCTAATGATTTTTTATGGAACTTACCATCATTCCAGAATATTGTGGTACACTTCACAAAGTCAAATAATATGATGACATATTCACTTAACATCCAACGTGAATAAATAGTCCCCAACCGTATCCCTCCTACCTGGTGGGACAACAGGAATGATTGGCTAATTGGTTTGTAACAATAAACAAGATGAAGAAGGGGGGAAAATAAAATTTAAAAAATTTATGTTTATTACAATTTATTAAAATTATTCTACAATATTAGGTACAATATATAATTATTTTAATCTTAAATTATAAGGAAACAACTAAACCAAAGATACATATTGTAAGCTATTTGGCGGCAGACTTTTAGGAGCAGCAAACTCTTTATTTTGATTAAAGAAAAACAGTAAATAAAGACTAACCAGCTAATTTCACATTAAGTATAACAAATATTCAACTCACATTTGCATCGGTTGCATTTTTATAATTACACTATGTGACATTTTTTTTTTCTAACATCGATTAAAATACCTGTATCCTACATGTAAGTTTGTTCAGAAAATCTAAAAATTATCATCACAATTCTTCATCACGTAAGATTTTTTTTGTTATTTTTGTTTTCATATTTAAAGAGCGATCAAAGTATCTATACTCATATTGACGATATACATACAGGGTGATTCAATTGTTTCAGGTCCTCCACAAGTCTTTAGGGGCAGAACCCCCTTGTGTTAGAGGTTTTTTATTGTTATAAGTCAAGAATGGTACCAAGAATTATACTTGTTAGATAAATCATGCTGCCTATAGTGTTATTATTATAAGCTTTTATTTAACTTACTTTGTTGTCTGTCTGCCTACGCGAAATTTTGTTACACACGTAATTCCAGTTACATAGTAATTAATGTTAAATGTTAGACTTTTTTTACTAGAACTAACAGTGACAAAGAAGACACTTGGAATGCGCTCACTTGGTTAAGATAAAAAAATACATGGGCGTACTTTTTTTTTCTCTAAAATTTTCTTAGCTGTCATTTTGCAAGAGTTTGCAATTGATTGGTGATCGCAAATAAAGACCAATATTTAAGTAGGAAAAATCATTTTGATGTAATCGTTAATGAACTTATTATAACAGATGACAGCAGTGATGAAAGCGATTTTTGCTTTAATGATTTTGATTGTTAGAAATATCATTCTTAGAAATTATTTTCTGCGTTAACAATTTAATAATTTGTTCATTATTCTTTTCTATTGAAGTTTTTAATATTCATAAAAGTTTCGAGGGCGGTCAACTAAGGAAAGTACTTGTACCCGGGGAAAAAACTATTCACCAGTCTAACTTGGCGCTCACGCTGCGCTTTGTTGCAATAGTGTTTCAAACTAACTAGTTGAGCAGGTATAAAATGTTGAAAAACCCTTATTTAGGAAAAACATTTCTTGCTTTATCTGAAACGAGCAAATCTGTAATTAAAACTTTATTATTCTAACTTAATAGAAAAAAAGTTCATTCAAAGAAGTAATCTTGACAAGTGCACTGATGACTTTTGACAGCATTTTGACATTTTGTACAGTAGTCGATGGACTGTCAGTTATCTTTCTGTGGTTATGTTGACCTCAGTTTTTTGACATTCGAGTTTTCAAAATTATGTGTGTTAAGACAGATAAAAAAAATTGCAGAAGCGTTTCAGATTTTGAAAACTGAGACTTCAGGTAAAAATTACGGAACTTCATACTAAACAGTGTATGAAGTGTAATTATGTCAAGCTTTCAAAAAATTGATAACATAACGCCTTACGTTTTATTTTGCTTTTACATAATTGATACATGTGTGCCCTGATGTCCCTGTACTTAGTGTTGATGAGACTTTGAGAACTGATTGGCCTTTTCGCTTTTATAGAGTGGCTCAAAATTATCCTGTTGTTATAAGAGGGGGTTACAAACATTTTTCAGCAGTATCAAAATGGAATTCACGATATTTCTTGTAAAATAATTCATTTATACATTAAATACAGATTTGCAACATTTTAAATTGTAGGGATACCATTCCAAATAAAGAAGTGACAGTTGTTGTCAAAATTTTGAAGCAAAGTGAATTAAGAAAAACAAGATTAAATCTACAAAAAAATAAGCTGAAAAATGTTAATTTACTGAATTCGCTGAGGGTATTAAGCCAGTCTTTGCCTATTACTCTCCTAACTCCTTAGGTCAAGATACCCAAGATATTGAATCTTCCCAGATGTGCCGAGGTACCGTAAATAGATTTGTGGTGATTTAAACCAAATTCCATGCCTTATTCTCCTATACACCAATCAGTCATAAAAGTTGGTAACGTGGAAAAATGGTCAATTTTACCCCTGAATTTTAGTAATTTTAGGACGGTTTTAATAATAAAGTTTTTAATAACTAGTCGTGTTTTTTAGTGTTTGAAAGTGTGTTATAAATAAAATATTCACTTCCAATCTTGTGCAGATGAATTTGTGTTTATGGAGATATATAGAAATTTATTAATACTTATCGAGGGTTTCATAACAGAGGGTCGTATAAACCAAACTATAATTTTTTTTAAGAGTTACGTCTATGTGATGTTCGGTGCATGTAAAATGGTTGATACGCCAAACATAATAATGCTAATAAAATTGTAACCATTTCAAATACAAATACGCCTAATTAGGGAAAAATACTCAGTATTGTTTGTGGTTTATAAGCAAAAAAACTCAATTTTTATAACTTTCGTTCATACGCCCTTCTGTTATGGAGCTCTCAATATGTATAGTGGCAACAATACATTTTTAAGTATAAAAATGTTGTACTCAGCTAAAGAAAAAATAATTTGGTTTTATTAAAAAAAAAAAGTTAGTAGAGTATATCACACTAATTTTGCTAATTTTGAATATTTTTTGGAACGTAAACAATCAGCACTTCTTTTCCTGGCTTCTTTTTGGCACGAAAAAATCATCCGTGTAACCAGAAAAGAAAAAATATTTTTTTTTGTAAATTGTAGATGATGTTTTGCACATCCCACAAATGTCCGAATTTTTATATCTCTTAGTTTTTCAACAATATCAAAAAATGTATTTCTTTTTATGTTTTGCTTCAAATAATCAAAAATCATTGCATCTACACTTTGAATTAAAATTACAAGATCCCTAGATGGGAATGTTAAGTAACCTCGGCTTCTTAAAATTATATATGTGTTGTAGGATTCGAGTCCATCACCAACAAGTGCCTCAACACAACGTGTGCATTGTTCTTTTTTATGCCGTCATGCTATAGAGCCGCAAACGTAAGCAAATGCTTCTTCATTATCACAGAATGAATAAGATGCTGCAGATGAAGTGGCAAAATCTGTTTCAAGTGCAGAATCTAGCATCGAATCAATCTCTGCCTTTGTCGTTTTGTTTTTATTAGTCACCACATTGGAAGGGCCAGTAACTAAGGCATCTAACATGTTACCACCTGATGCATTGCTCCCTCGTGGTGGTTTGACGAAAGAATAAAGTGACAATAAACGAAACAGTTGTGCAATCTGCAACGATTCTGCATTATTGTTGGCACCTCCGCTTGCCCTCAATAAACCAAAAAAATGTTCTAATGGGTCTTGGTTTATACGAGTAGTCATTAAATATTTAAAACCCAATTTGTCAGTGCAATATTTCAGTAAATCTAATGTCGTGTTAATAGTAGCTCTAAACCCTTCTGCTGTTGAACTTGTTAGGAAGAAATTTTGTTCTGAGCATGACTCCCAAAGAAAGATTCAGGTAAATGAGAAAGTCTTCCAAAACTTTTTGTTCAGCAGAACTGACCCTCAGAGCCAGCCTTAAATGCATTATTTGCATTTAAGACATCAGAAAGTTGATTGTGTCGTATGCAAAATTGAATAGTAGGTTCTGCATCCGTAAATCCGACTACATTCTTGTTTTTTAAAAACTCCATCGCATCTGCAACAGTTGCACTGAAGAGTTGAAAAACTTGGCGCGTTGTCATTTTTTCATGGTGTTCAGGATGTACATGCTTCTTAGTGAGTTTGTGTGCCAACGTAAATTCGTTTTTTGCGTCATACTCCATTAAGCGTTCAAAGTGAACTAACTACACACGCCCTTCTGGTACATGAAATTCTTTCTGCGAAACGAGCCTGTTTCTTAAACATTTAAACAGGTGTGGAAAATCTGAGCACATTCTTAGTTTTCTGTCTTTATTGCAAGGATGTTCACACCAAGGAGTTGTTGAATTTCCTGCATTGAATACTTTCCACATCGCTCTATTCCATGTGGCTCCATCCGACGTAACTACGTCAACAAAAAGACCAGCAGATTCGCATAGTAAAATGGCTTCTAAAAATAGCTTTGTCTGCACAGTGCCCAAAACACTTCCTTTTGACAGAAAACAAGCAAGGGCTTGCATATTATGTCCTGCAGATGACTGAAACATTAAGACCAAAACATGATCGCCTAACTGGTCTTTCTGAGTTGCTGGAGTATATTGTCCTAAATCCACAAAACCCATTACTTCAAGCTTGTTTTTGTCAAAGTGCTTGCTTGCTGTTATATATTTTGCATTCATCAACCATCAGAGTCCCGTGGCGCTCATATACTTGCATTTAGCTTGTCTTTTCTTTGAGTAGTTGGAAGAGTTTGTCATGAAATCCATAGCTACTATCGATGTTGCGTATATAATTTGACAATGTACAGGGTGCTGCATTTTGGATGTGCGAATAGGGAATCTCCGAAACTAAGAGGTTTAGGCAAAAACAAGTAATACATTCTGGGGCTCATTTTTTGAGAAAATAATATTGGTTAAAAGCGCATCCCGCTATCGTCTTTTGTTTTCGACTTACAGACAAAAGTTGACATTTTGGCGAAATCTAAAAAAATTATATTTTCGTTATTATAGAAGATACGGATTTGAAATAAAGACATTATACAGGCACTTTTTTACGAGGAATTTAATAATGTAGTTAACAAATTTTCAGTTATTAGTTTAACCGTAATAAGATAAACTTGTATTTTTTTAAATGGAAATCATAGGCGGCTATGGCAATTTTGAAAAGCTTATTTTTTTTTAATCTAAAAAATATATATTTGTAACAAAATATTTTTTATAACTATACTTCAAAAGTGAAATATATATTTTGTGTGATAATAGTTGGCCATGGAAAAACTATTTCACTCCAAATGTGTAAATAATAATCAATAAGAGTTTTGTGAACTGTGAAATAGATAAAAAAAATAGATCAAATTATAAAGAAAAAATACGATGCGGTAGAAGCATTGAACAAATATCCGAGCGCCTCAGAACAAAATTATTACATATTTTTAAAAAATCCAAAAATAGGAAAAACAAATGTGTCAACTGTCAACACAATTAGAAAAAACATTTTTTTGATGATCTAATGGAGATAGGATAACGTTCCACATAGACGGAATTTGGGTATTTGAATAGCCATATCGTCATTTTTCTGTCATCTAAAATATATTTTATTGAAGAATTAAAGCGGCTTTTTTTTACAACACTCTATGTATCACTAGAAGTTGCAATGGTAATGTTAGCTTGTTTAAAAACAAAGAAATGTTATTAGTCGCCAATAAGTTGATTTACAATTTATTTTGCATCTTTTTCATTACTTAGTAATTAGAAAACTCTTTCATTAGTGACGCTGGTTGAATAATATAGTTTAAATCCTTTTAGTCGAAGATGCAACATTTTTTCATGGCCAACTGCGAACAAAAATCAAAGATAATTTTTTGCTAAAAATGTATTATAATAATTTGTTACAAATATATATTTTTTAGATAAGAAGAAAACAAGCTTTTTAAAAATGACATAGCCATCTATGATTCCCATTTAAAAAAATACAAGTTTATTTTATTACTGCTAAACAAACAACTGAAAAAAATTGTTAACTACATTACTAAATTCTACGTAAAAAAGTGCCTGTATAATATCTTTATTTCAAATCTGTGTTTAGATTTCGCTGAAATGTCAATTTTTGTCTATAAGTCGAAAACAAAAGACGATATCGGGATGCGGTTTTAACCAATATTATTTTCTCAAAAAATGAGCCCCAGAATGTATTACTCGTTTTTGGCTAAACATCTTAGTTTCGGAGATTCCCTATTCGGACATCCAAAATGCAGCACCCTGTACATGGCGAAGGAAGCGGAAGGAATTCTCGACATCTTAAATGATTATAAAGCTTTGTGCTTTTAATTTTAATCAAAATACAAGAGTATATCCACTCTTTTTCATACCTTCGCCCTTTCGGACTTCGCCCAGCTATGTCAAAGCAAGTTTTCACAACCAATTTTTGATTTTCTGGCAATTTTGAAATAATGCTGTCAGTACTTCTTTTTGATAACGTTGTCATTCGTTTCTGTAGGGTGTAATTTTTTTTTTATTTGGTTCTTCTGTACTGCTAACAAACGTTTTAAACGTTGTTGTTTATCTTTTTGTCTTAGCTTGAATACAGTGCTATGTTTTTGTAACTTGTACTTTTTACATACTCGTAATAGAGTTTTTCGCGATGAGGCACTAGCACTACATCGACTAGTTCTTTTTCCTTTACATTCTCCATTGCAAAATCTACTAAATTGTTTGTCAATCCCGCTTCCCAAGCAAAGTTTTACTGTATCCAATTTTTTGTTGAAGGCAACAAAATCTTCTAATGTGTGGGGAATTTGTTTTGTTGAATGAATACTTCCGTTTACACAGATTTTTAAAGATGAATCTTTTTCCACAAGAACAATTTTGTCCATTTCTGGTGGCTCTCGTTTAAGATGACTAAAAGTCAAGCAGGTTTTATGAAAATGAATACCCCAATTTAATGGTAAGAAATGCTTCAAATTGACGGAATTTGCAAAATGTACTTCTAAAATATTAAATAGGGAAACTTCAGCCGATGTGGTTGGACAAAGTTCTTTTACTGTCTGATCGGGAAAGTTTATTGTGGGTTCATAATTGGTAGAAGGAAGTGATTCAGTGGCAAGAAAATTAACAACAGATCTAAAATTATCGCTAAATAAAAATGATTTTCAGTAATTACACACGAAATATACCTTGGAATAAAGTCTACTGCAGGTTCATGCTTAGTGGAGAGAACTGAGGGAACCAACACAGTAGAAAGTGAATCAGTGACGGGTCTAAAATTTTCACTAAATAGAAATAATTTTCAATAATTAGACACGAAACGTACCTTGTAATACAACTTGTTTTTTTTCTTATGTAGTTGATGGTTGGTTTGGGCTGGGAATTGTATTGGGAAACAGGATAGCTTAAATTGAGGGTGGGAACTGCATTTAGTGCTAAGGTTCTTCTCACAATAAGGGGTTGTGAAGACAATCCAGAACATTCATTAATAAATTTATTTTCAAAATGAGACATGCATATGAAATGTTTTTTTTTGTAAAGCGATTCCCGTAGCATTACGCCATTCCCGAAGTCTGTTTTCGTCCTATAATGTAATTCGTAACTCTTACCTAAACTTAATTTAAAAAAGGGAAATATATT